GAGGGCGCGGGGCGCTGTCAGGGGCGGTAGGAGGGGAGAAGCAGCCCCCTCCCCTGCACTCCGCGGGGGTTGGACGAGGCTCCGTGGGAGGCCTCGCTCCGCCTCCTCCTCCGGTCCCCTACCGGGACATCTCCCACTCGTTTCCCGCCCAAGCTGTGGATCGGGCGCACGTGGCGGCGCTCCCGCTGGCCTTCAGGGCAGCCTCCTGCTCCCGGCCTCTCACTGGGAGCTTCCACACCGTGAAAGCGCGGCCCTGACACCCAGACACGGCCGAGGCAGCTATTACCTGCCTTTCTTTGAGCTGCCGGAGTGGATAGCTTTTCCGGCGGGTGGGAGTGAGTTGAAAACCAGCCTCAATACAATGGAACCCGCCCTTCCTCAGTGTTGTAAAACTTAAAAGTTTGTGTTCCCAGGCTAGCAAATTGTTGCTTATGTTCAGCCATAACAGATATGAGGCAACAGATGTTCCTTGTAGAAGAAATGTAGTACTTAAAGAGGGAGTTGAGGATCTAAGGAAGTACCTATTTTTCAGACACCTTTCTGTCATGTTTTACTTAAGCCTGTGTGGAATGGATGAGCTTTTTTGTAAGAACTCTGCTCATACCTGCAGTGCTGCAGCTTTCTTTGTGTCCTGTCCCCTTAATTTAGGCAAACTGTACGTGGCCCCCTTTTTCTTAGTGGTTTTGTTTGTGCTGGCTTAGGCTGTGGAAAAATGGACACGCTTTCAGTTCATGTCTGTATTTTAAAGAACCTTTTGGTACGGGAACAGCTATTTTGTTGCCTTGCCTTGTCAGATTATATACGAGAATTGCAAGAAATACTTCAGCCTGCCTCTGGACTTTTGCTGTTGAGTGGACAGGTGCAATATGTACATGTTTTACAGGAGCACAAGTTGGGTGTTACACTGTGATCTTAGAATCTCTGGGGAAGTCATGTAAATCCATGTGAACCATGACGTCTGTGTGGCCTACCTTGTTGGTTTTACTAGTGCAAATTTACCTAACATAGGCAAAATCTTAGACTGGATTGAGAATTTTGCTGCTTGATTCTTTCACCTTCTAGAGACTTCATCACAGATTAGTTGAAATGTTGAAGTCAACTGATCTCTGTCATCTGTGAAGCTGGGAGCCCAGTCTGTAGAATTCATTTCAGTGTTTGTACACTCATTGGAATATATTTTAATGAGGTAGCTGAGATACGTAGTAATTTGCTGTAGCCATGTGATGCTTAAGTTGCTATTTGAAACGTTACTGTTGCATTGCACATCAGGTTTAATTAGAAACGTGTGTGTGGTCTTTATACTTAGACGGTATGCTACTTTTATAGTTGCATTCAATCATTTTTGTACCAAATGAAGTACACTTTTGTGTCTTCTTCTTTAACTTAAAAATATGTGGCATTATATTATGCTACATATGCTTTGTCTGGCCCAATTATTTGTCTCCTTTCTAAAGTAAATATTTGCAGTATTTTTTATCTCCTTTCCTAGGAAGGCTTTTGAGGCCTTAGATCTTGTGGCCTTCATTTGACCATATGCTATTTCTGCTCTCTCCTTTTTAAGATAATATGATCAGAACTGAATGTGATATTCTAGCTGCGAACATTTTGGTGATACAGCTGTTGATACTGTGGAATGCATCAGTGGCATCTACCCTGTTCTCTGTAATTTATGTTACTTTTTAAGAATTATTTTTTATGATCAGTGCAAGCTGAGCCATTTTCACTGAAGTGTCTTCTTTGTAGTCTATGGCATATACAAGGGATTCAAGTAATGCACACCAAGATTTACTTTGATTTCACTTACTACTAACTGTGAATGTTAACTATTCACAGCAGTAATCCTGGAGTTCTTTTTGACGTTCTCCATGTGTTGGCCAAACTCCAAAAAGTGTTTTTACCTTGGAAAAAAAATGTTTAGCTCTTCTCTAGATTTTTTTATAGATTCATTGGTCCTAGCATGGAACCATGTGACAGTGTGTTCTTTTCAACAAAGTCAAAAAGTAGATAACAATTTGCTCTTTTTTTATACAATCAAAATGAGCCTGTAATATTTTTGCTTTATCCCATGGTACTTAATTTCCAAACTAGCCAATTTGTTCTAAAAATCTTCAGATACTTGTGCCAGCCCTTTTAGCTACTGCTTTTGGTTGGCTTTTTTTTTATTAAATTAAAGTTGATCACGGAGTTAAGTTTACTTTGATTTTCTTGTTCCATGCTGAGAGATAAATGAACCATTTGTGCCCCAGATGCTGAGCCTTTTATAGATGGATACAGTGTTTGTAATATTCCAGTTCTGTGTTCTGTAAGTTGGTGCCAGAGTGAAGATTTCTTTTTAGCTGTTAGCTACTTTTTTAAAATAACAAACACTATGTTATTTGTGAAGCTGCCACATGTATGCAATAGCATCTTAAAAAATATTTAATTACTTTTTTCCATGTATTTCTTTATTACTTAGTGAGAATTATACATATATTTTGAAGATTTACATAATACTAGGATTTTTCTTAGGAGGGTGCAATAATTGACTTACTCTTTGTTTTTCCTTATAATTAATTCCTGATACTTTTATTTTAATGCAGAAAGTAAATGGCTGTGTTTAAGTACCTGCATATTTCTTGCTTTTGCTTGCAAAGATTCTTGCTTTTTGGCTGAAATGATTTTGTGTATGGGGTAGAAATGCTGATCCTGAGTTGTTGGAGTAGCAATTGTAATAGAGCAATCTGTGGTTAGGACTATTGAGAGGTCAAGCAGAAATATGAAGAAAAGTGCCATGGGTAAAGATTTGTTGAACTGTAGAATGTTAGGTTTGGACTTTGAGGGCAGCCTTCCAAAGGAGATGCTGAAGGAGGAGGTGTGAAGCGTGGCAGCTCTTGAAAATTTTCAGCTTCCTTAATGAACAGAGTATTAAATGTTAAAGTTCTATTATTGTAACCTAGAATTTCTTACCTAGGTAAATAAACAGCACTTCACTTCACTTCTGGAATTCTAGAGAGGCATAATTTATTAAAATTTTGTGTAAAAATGACACTTTGAATTATAATTCTAAGTATTTAGAAATTGTGCAGGCTAATCTTGCTGTTTCTACTTCACAGATTTTGAAGATGATGATGTGTATGGCCAGTCAGTAGAAGATGATTATTGCATTTCTCCTTCAACAGGTTAGTCCACGTGATTACGTATAAGCATTGTCCATTGTTTCCTACTCTGATCTTCATTTCTATAATAAAACAGTATTTAGAGTGAAACTTTGGAAAAGTGCCTACCAGCCATAATCTTGTTAAAGTCAGTTGGGTGGTGTTAAGCGTTGTTGACTTCCAAAGGTATGCATTAGACAACTGGGCACCTCATCAGTCATAGAAATTTGTTATCTTGGATGGTCAGAATGTACTTAATAATGTAAAAATCAGATTTATGGGAATGTGTTGATAGTCTTGAAAGATTTGGTATCTTTTAAAATGGTTTGTAGGATCGATCTGGGCTTAACAACCTGGTAGTTGATGTCTTTTACACAACTTTTACAGTAAATGGTGGGGTAGGGAGTCTTCTTGTGTGATGTAGCACTGGTCCTCACTATTCTCATGCAAGATCACGTGGAACTATTAAGCCTTCCACCCCTTGTGATATTCAGAGTGGGTATAAAAATAGTGATGCTCTGTGCTCAGGTAAGACGTAATCAGAGCAGCTTATCCCAGCTGAATTCAGCCCGACTGTAGAACCTTTAGGTTGTGTTCTCCAGTCAAAGCTCTGACAAGACTGTCAGTTCAGGGTTTTCTCAGATTTGCTGGTAGTGTTTTTAGAGCCCTGAAAATAGTATGGCCAATGTTGATGTGAAGCTATGCTACTGCAGGTAACTAGGCTGGATCTAAATCAACTGCGGCTGGGATGTAGTCTGTGACCTCAGACCACAGGTACTTGCGTTAATAATTAGGTCTTTAAAAATCTGTTCCTCTGTCATCCTGTTGATTTTAGATAAGTGAGTCTAGGTGGGTATTTTCATTTTTTAGTCATATTCCCTGATTTAAATTCAGATTGTCTTGCATTCAGTTTCTAAATACAATGGCTAGAACTTTTCGAACTTTTTCTAAGACATATGATAGCCTTGTATTTTGTGATAAAAATGTGCAACGTTTACTTTTTAATCAAGTATAAATTGCTGAATTGCAAAACTAAATCTTGTTTGTGCTCAATAATTTTCTTAAGAATTCTTTTTACATAAGTTTAATTTATAAAATAATCTGATTTAGTTTGTAATGCAATCTTTTAATAGTCTTTTCAGTGACAGTGATTGAGTATGAAATGGTACATATTTGGAAAACAGTTGCTAAGGATATACTACTGGATATACATATGCTTTCAGTGTGTATTTCGGAACTGGGGGGAATATTACATAGCATAAGGAATTTTGTTTACATTATACTTGGTACATTTGTAAGAGTATGGAATTAGTGTGGGGCTCATGTTCAGCAAGAAGTTTTATCTATATATGCCTTAATGTTTTGCTTAATCAGAGTGAAATTATGCACTTGTTTAAAGTTTTGTGTGAATATCCATTTTAACTCATGGGCTGTATTTCTAATAAAATTTCAAGAAGAGAAGAGTGTGTTTAACTCCATTAAATTATCAGTAGTTTGACAGTGCTATACTGTAAAAGCAGTGTTATTTTCATGCTATATTTTTTTTCACTTGTAACTGAAGTAAAAAAAATAATTGTCAATTAAGGTTCTGAAGACATTAGGCCATAGATGGTAATTTGGTATAAAAAAAACCCTGTTTTTTCAAACCTGAAGTGTATTCTTTTGTTTGAATACTGAACTTTGCAGAATTATTGCTTTATGTAGATACAAGGATATTGTACAGCCTGTGATGTCACTGTGATGATGACTTATTTATATTTTAGCATGAACTGCTGTATACTCTAAAGTCTTCAAGTAGTAGTCATTTTAAAGTAGTGTGCCATTCCCTCTGCAACAGGTCAGTGTCCTAACTTTTTTTTCCCTTTGTTTTTAAAGGAGGAAAAAGTATTTGATGTTTTTTTTTAATTGATACTTTGTTTTTTACCTAATGCAGCAGCTCAATTTATCTACTCCAGACGAGACAAACCAGCAACATTTGCTGAGCCATTAGAAGAAGAATATGGGTATGAAGATACAGATGAAACTGCTGATTATTTTACATCCCGTCATCAGTTGTCTGACGTTGATAGAGGTAATTATAGAAAATAACTACTTCGTAGAACAATCTTTTTTATGAATTAAGAACTTACTAAACTAGTCTTAAATTAATGTTTGTTACTTCACTGGCGCTGCTCATAATTTTGTAACCTTCTAGAGCAACACCGTCCATGACCGTAGTCATGAATCTTCAAGTTTATAAGTACCTTTTTGTATACTATTTGTAAATTTATTGCATACATTGAAGTATGTTCTTAGTTTCTTATTAGAGATAATGAGATTTGATATGAAATGCAGACATAAGAGCAGCTGTACTAGCTCAGGCCAAGCATCCATTTAGCTCAAGGTCTTGACTCTGCAAATTGATGCTTGGAGAAGAGTATTTGAATATTTGTAGAATGATCTTTTGCTTGTATTGCATTCCAAATTATGGCAATTAGCAGTATTTGAGAAGTTTTCAAAGTCACGCATTTCCTTGAAACAGTAACCTCTACAGGTATCTTTAGATACGTGTATCTTCTACAGGTATCTTTTCTTACCCTGTTTTGAATTCATTAGACTTTGATTTCCTTTCAGTCCTGGAGCCATGAATTCCATGTTTTAAGCTGAGTTCTGAGCTGAGTGATTGGGGAAACTTGCTTTTGCTTTTTAAAACTTGCTGCCTGATAACTTAATTACATGCTTTGTGAAATCGATTAGCAAGTTTCTCTCCTAAGTATTAATAACTAACTTAGTTTTTAATATTTTGGAAATAATCAGGTTTATTTTAAAAATGTTGATAAGCTTTGAGTAAAGTGTGTTGGTGAATGAACAGACAATAAAATGCATGAATGAAATTTGCTATTTAAAACAAGTTGCAAAAAGTTCAGAAAGAATAGATAAAACAGAAAATCTAGATGCCATGTCAAGTAAATTGGTAGAAACTGTGCTAATGCATAGACTTAGGGATAAATATTATAAACTTGGGTGTAAGATGCATGTTTTTACAGCAGGAAATAATCCTGTAGAAGGTAGTTTGAAAGAATCAGTCACTATGTGAATGCAGGTGATCTAGCCAGTACAGTACCCTGACTTTTCAGAATGCTTCTGACAGACTCAATCAGTTAAGAATTGATATTGGAACAAGAAGAAAAGTTATATTCTGGACAGAAAAAAGATGAAGGAGATACCTAGAAATAACCATTTATATGTCAAATGGTAGGACAGGGGGCAATGGGAGCAAACTGGAGCAAAGGAAGTTCCATGTGAACATGAGGAAAATCTTTTTTACTGTTAGGGTGACAGAGCACTGGACCAGGCTGCCCAGGGAGGTTGTGGAGTCTCCTTCTCTGGAGACATTCAAAACCTGCCTGGAAATGTTCCTGTGCAACCTAGTGTAGGTGATCCTGCTCTGGCAGGGGGGTTGGACTGGATGATCTTTCAAGGTCCCTTCCAACTCCTAATATTCTGTGATTCTGTGGTACTGTAAAAACAGCAGTGGTCCCACAAGACCTGTTATGTTTGGAATAGTGTGTAGTGTTGGCCACTGTCAGTCTAGCTGCAAAGAGTGTGACAAGATTGTCCTTGTTTGGTGTTGGGTAAGAAAATGGCCAACCAACACACTATGCAGTGGTCTGCCGGTACTTGTTTTGCAGAGAAAATGCCTGGGGAACATTGACTTGCTATTTGGATTACAGGTTGAGGGTACTGATTTAAGTAACCTTGAGGAAGTCGGAATTTTGTGGTGTTGAATTCGCTTAGCAAAGTTCTTTAAATGTCATCTTTGAGGAGATGTTCAAATAAAGAATCTGTCCTGTTGTTAGTTCCTGTTTTCTAAAATCTAAACTGACAGAAGCTGTGATGTTCAGGAAGATTTTTCTTCTGTTCTCTTATGTTTGTATGTCAGATCAGCACATTACTTCCAGTGAGTGGCAGACTGGTGAATTTTCAGTCTCTTGTTGTACAGCAAGTCAAGACTTTAGAAGCATATCTAAGTCAAGGCTTATAATAGTTGCAGAAACATGCGCCAAAGCAAATTGATTTTATCAGCCAAAAATATGTTGCAGTTTTAGGAAAGATAAAAATTGCAGGTAATTTCAAACTTGGTGCATTGATCCAGAATTTTAAATTGCTAAGGCCTGAGTACCCTGAAAATGTGCCTTTTTTTTTTTTTTTTTTTTACTGTGGGTGTTAATTACACCATCTGTAAACACTTAAACGGTGCTGTTCAATGGGATTCAACATTGACTTTCTAAATGACTTTGGATAATTTTAAGGTGATTATTTGTATTTCTTCTCTGCAGTGCAGATAGTTGATTTTACCAGATCCTGGTATTTCATTATTAAGAATTTATAGAACAGTATTGCTATAGGGAACATAGCACTGCCTATCATATATCTGAAATTGGTAAAATATTCTGCAGAGTTTGGGGGCAAAGATTATTGTGGCGATCAAGGAGATTGAAATTAATTTAAAAAGTTTTTATCTCTTACTGTGATATTTTTCTCCTGTTTTTGTTAATCAGATATGTGGTGCTAGTGGTTAGGCCACTGAAGACATTCTATTGTGTAGCTTATAACAGTAATGTGTCTCTTTTAGCGCGTCTTAATTCATGCCTTGATCAAATGAGAGAAGTTTTGGCAGAGTCTGTACTAGAGCAAACAATGATACAAGCAGTACTGGATTGTAATTTTGATGTTCAGAAGGCTTTGGATCTTCTGCTTTCACAAGGGAGTAACCAAAATGTGAAGACCAAGAATGAGGACGCTGTGATTGTAGGAAAGACGACAAAAGGTATACTTCTGTTTGATTGTTTACATTCAAGATGATTCATTTCTGTGTACAGTTTAATTTTAGCTTTATAAACTGTGAAGGTGCTTGTTACTGTTAATTTTAAAATTAAAAAACCACAACTTACTCTTCTATTTCTGTGTTCTAAAACCATTTAAAGGAAACAGTAGCTTTTCTTGAGCTAGAAGTCAAAATAAAACCTTAGTGTCAGCTTAAATTCAAACTGCAACCATCTGTAGTTCACAGTAAATTTCTCATTTCTAATGTATGACTTAGCTGAATGTATACATGTCCTAAAAGTTGGATAACATCTTTACGTTTTATGCCCCTCCATTATTTGTTTGGTGAACTAACATCTCCAATCCCCAGTATCTCCCTTTTTTTGATAGTGTCTATACAGTAACTTTCTTATTTTGATTTATGTTTAAATCATAGTAATATTTGCTTCCATCCTTTGCTGATTCTTAGGAGTTTATTAGGCATTTCAGTAGATACCTGTAACTTAATTGTAGAACATTGCATGTCTTTGGATAACACTTAGTAATTAAATGCCTTTTCATATTTCTTCTTGATTTTTTTGTTACTGCTGTCAACTTAAAAAAATCGGATATTTCGTTGTGACTGCACTTCCATCTGAAAATTATTGGCTATTGTAAGGTAAGGAGACTTACTTTGTTGTCCAGAAACGTGTATTGATACAGACAGTTTCTCTTGTGCAGTAGAAAATGTTGCTGATAACACCAACAAACCTGGGTTTGGAAACTTGACAGCCAAAAGTGGTTCAGCTTCTTACTCTTTAATTACAAATGACAAAACACTCCTTAATGCTGAAAAATCCAATATGCATTCATCTGAAAGGAAAGGATTTAAATCCTCTTCACTTTTTCTGTCATCTTCTTTCAGTGATGATTTGTGTAGAGAATCGTTTTGTGAACCTGTGAACAAACAGGCAGAGAATCAACTATCAGAAAGTGCTAATGCAGTAAGTTCAATTCCTGACCATGAAGATGTTTGCTTTAGCATAGGAAGTAACCCACCTGGAAATTATGCCATTAAGAAGTTGGATTGCAAGGAAGCACAGGACCTGAAATCCTTGCTGATGCAGAATGTGGCTTGTGATTCTCTGAGTCCTGAAGACAGCATTCCTCTTGTTTCCTCAAATACTTCTGATTGTAATAGTAATGCAGATTTTTACAGTTCTCAATGTTTAACAAGTGCTTTAGGAAAATTGACTCTTGGTAATGAAGTCAGTCATACTGTAAATAGGAAGAATGAACTTCTTGAAAATTTTTCTTCACTTGTGCAAAGTAGGAAACAAGAAAGCCCCTCTTCAGACATGGCTGCTTTGCCAGTGCTAAGGTCTGGAAGTACATCATTGGCTGACTTACTTCAGGAGCACCAGGAAAGCAGTCCTAGCTACTGTTATTCTTTGGCTGATCTATATACACAGTCAACAGCAAGTCTCACTGATGTGAAATTGGGAACCACACCATTATCACAACTAGTAAGTCAACCCCAAACTTCAAGTGGGATGCCAGAGCTAACAGGATCTTTGTCTTCTCTGGCCCTCTCTAAAGTTTTTCCACTAAAGGAGGTTGAGAATTTATCACTCTCAGATTTAATAGCAGAGACAATTGAAATAGATAAAGCTCAACAAAGGACGGACTTCCCCATGCTCAGTGTACCTGAATTGAGGCCCTCTAAAAGAACCAGTATTGATTTAAGTGTCCTTGTAAAAAATACAGGTGTATCTGCAGAACAAAGTGTGGTAAGACAGTCAAATATCTTCAGCCCTGAAACTAAACTTTTAAGAGGAAAACAAGGAAAATGTTCTGGTTTTGCCAAAACAAATAAAAAATCCAAAAGAGGCATTAGTCCTAAGAGGCAGGATTTATCTCTGTCGTGGATGAAGGCACTGCGTGCAAGACCTTCAGCTTTTGCTTTAACCTTGTGTCTCCATTATCCTCCAAAAGGTTATAAGCGGCACACAACTGGTATACATAAAACTTTCCTATACAGTAGACAAGTGCAAGACATAAAACCCAAGGAAACTGGTCCTATAATAGCCATAACGCCATTTGACTTCAAATCAGCATCTCCCGATGATATTGTGAAAGCTAACCAAAAAAAAGCTTTTACAAGAGAGTAAAAAAGGTGTCAAAAAAAGAGAGAAGAAATCGGTGTTTATATCTTGGTATATTAAAAAAATAATTATACAGGACCTATTTATAATCTAGAATTGATGTTTTTAAGATTTTTTTAATTGACATATTACAGTTCTCACTGTTGGGTAGCAAATTTGTATGTCAGCTTTTAAGCTGTTGCACTGAATAACTATTTTTGCCTAATTTTCACTGACAATATAAGATTTTTAACTTTTAAAGTCTTAATCTTTAGTGTATAGACATTGCATGTACAAAATTCCATTAACACCATTAGATGTCTTGAAACATCTCTCTAGGTGTTGAAGATACAGTTCATTGGGAAGAACACTGAATTTTTATTTTGCAAAGTAATTTGGTTTTGCTCTATGGTGTGTAGTTTGGGGAGCAGGAATCTCAGTTCATATTCAAATGTTTTATTAAATATTCTCAAAGTTAGATTTTCTGATAAGGTATGTTATTAAACTGCCAATCTTGTAACAGATATTTCCAGTCAATGTCATTATTCTTCTCTTTTTTTATACTGATTTTAGTATTACAACAAAAATACCTTTAGTTTTTAAAAGCCTCACTAACCTCAGGTTTTGACAGTTTAAGTTGTAGAACATGTATAGTTTTTGATAGGACCAAATTTGTAGGGGAGCAAGCACTTGCTGTCAAAATGTGAAGAGTTTTAAAATGGCAGTTTTGTAGGTGTATACATGCTGTATGCATTTAATGAGAAGTTTCACTAGAGTTCTATGGCTTACTCTCAAGTCTTTCAGAAAACTATTGGAATAACAATTCTTTCAACTTTAACATGTGAGTCTTTGCTCAATGGAAAAAAAATCAGGCAAAGCATAGGTGCTGTTTGTGTGTATAAGTGTTGCCTCTTGCTTGTTTTGAAGAAAGCTTCCTTCAGTAATGGAAATATATATTGTCTTCTACAGTTTGCACGCGTTGCTGTTACTTTGAATCTTTAGATGGAAGATCAGAATCAGGACATTCTGGACTTATTTTTTTAGCTGATAATTACCAAATTCTGGTGCCCTTGTTAGTCAAATTAGTAACTGCATGGATGTTTCAACTTTCCTTTTAGCACATATTACTGCTTTTAATATATTTCCCGTGTCCATGTCAGTATTTTAAATCCTGAACAGCAATAAATGCAGTAAAGGTACTGCAGCAACTAGAAAAGTACATTTGTATGTATACTGCCATACACTTATCATGCTAAACTTGGCAGCTAGTATGGAACAGTAGATGTAATTTTCATCCAGTTTTAATCTTAACTTTTATTGTGCATGTAACATGAAAAAGGAGACACAAACTTTTAGGTTTATTCCTGACTTCAGGTTGCACTTCAGATTTGTTTCTAAATAAAAATAAAACATGTTCCAGTGCTCTCAGGTACAGATTTAATGTTCTGTATATTTTGCTTGTTTGTCTGGTTGATGCTGTTGTCATTTAGGACTATCAGCAGTGTGACCTCTGACCTCTTGAATGAAATCGATGTTTCTAACCCTTACTAATAAAAGTTTTGTATAATGACAGTGCTGTAGTGTTTATGTTCTAGTTGACATGTTAAATCTAGCCATCTGTACCCTTACCTATTTTAAGTGCCTTAAAGCATTGAAGTGTAAATAATGCGATCCAGTGTACATACTATGATCTGATAAGCTCATGAGCAGGAGCATAATTGATTTATTTCCTCAGAAGATTTCCTGTAGAGTTCTGGATGATACTGATTGATTACTGATTTTTTAATTAATTAGTGTTAATAGCAAATTCTGCTTTTTGAACAATATGAAATGTTTTTCGCTGTCAGGTTCCTCTGTGTTTAGTCCAAATATTAACGTTCCACTGCTTAAAAGTCCAAGTCTGTTTTTTCCCTCTGAGGTAAAATGTCCTATTTGGAGAGTCTATAATTAAAGTTTGTGTTTTTCCAAAATTGATTGTATTCTTCTACTAGAGAAATTCTCATTTTTAGAAGTAAAATAGTAGTGTAAAGTTTGGCAGCGTCGTGCCTGGTGTATTGTTAGGTGATTTTGCTTCGTTTCAGATAACTGAGGCCCTAATTAATGTAGGTAAAGATTTCTGATACGTGCATATTTTTTTAAATTTTCATTGAATAGCTTTGCTTTTCCCTCTAAATATTTTCTCTTATTGAAGTTCTTTTTGCTTTTGGTCTGTTTTCTCATTCCTCTGGCTGATCTTCTTTGTGTGAAGCTTCGTAGTATTTTTAATAATTTTAGATCCTTAGCTGAACATTTGAGTGTATGTCCTCTGGATTCCACTGGAAAGTATGTACATGTAGTAGGTGCAATGTGTAGTACGTGGAGCTCAGTTTCGCCACAGGCTTCATGCAGATTAATGTTCAAACAAGTAACTGAAGCCAAAAGGCGTCAGCATTGCATGTTCATTGCGTATCTTCCTGTGGGATTGATACCTTAGTAAACAACTTTGGATCTTGCTAGGTAGCTGGATTTTCATATATAAATACTTTTTTCATTTGCATTTGTCTCAGCGTTGTTGCTGATCTTGAAGAAACAATACACACAGTTTGGTGGATAAGGAGTAGGGAAGGGATTTTTCTTCAGTTTGCAATCCTGAATCCTGAAGTGAGCCTTGAATTAGTACAAACCTGCGGGCTGAGCCCTGCAGAGGTGCGTAAGTGGTGGATGAACCTGAATTCCAATTAATTTTCAACAGAGATTATTTATTTTCATGCTTGGAAAAATTCACAGTTCTGGTTTTTTTTTTTTTTTAAGAAAAGCTAATGTGTTGCTGTATTTACTTCTTAAATTAAACAGGTATTTTAATAATTTCCTTAATTATTCCATAATTTCCTTATTGAGAACTGGGTTTGTTGCATTCGTGACAGGTTTAATTGTCTTAGGATACTGCATGATATTATGGTATATGACATTTTTGTGTAAGAAGTCTGTGTTTGGCCTTTGCACTGAAGTGTTTCTGCCTAGTGAATGTTAGAATTCTTGTTAACTACTTGTGTATTTTCTGCTAACACAGTGAGCTTTTTTAAATTGATGTACATATAAAACTTTCTCCCCTCCCATTTTGCAGCTAGTGTGTATCTTTGTCTAATACAGGTAATTGTGTTAATATGTGAATTTCAGAACAAGTAACATTGCAAAGGATTTGTCTGTGTTTGCATATGGACATTAAAAAAGATAGTATTAAACTACGTAGTCATACTACTTCTGCTATTCAGACTGTATACTGCTAAAGTACTTTGTACATTAAATCTATTTTGTACATATTTTTTAAGTGGCTGCTGGATATTTTTAATATAAATTTGCCATGTGGACATTGCTTTATGTACTTAAATAAAATGCGTATTCTTAAAGGACTGACTTAATTACAATTTCTTGTTAAGTTACCTGACAGAAATAGAGTTGTGTTTGAGAGTTGTATAATGATTGTATCTGTTGTGGAAACAAGCTCCAGTTCTCGTCTAGGTTTGCATGGGCGTACTTCTTTCTGTGGAATATTCCTTTGGAGAAAGTAAGGCAAAAACTGGCATCTACTAGTGTGTCTTCAAACACTGTATTGAGGCTCCAGTTTGCCTTTGGTTAGAAACGGGTTAGTAAAAGTGTTTTTTTCAGATTATTTCAATAGCATTTTTAAAGTTTATTTGGATTTCAAAAAGGAAAGGATATCAGTGAAATAAGAAAAAAAAATAATTGTCTGAAGTTAGTTTTCAAGCTCAAGAAATTAGAGCTACTACAGTTGACTTAAAATAAACATTCTTAACATGTCTCTAAATACCTGTTCCATTTTTCTCTTTTAGGTTTCCTTTTTTCTAGCTGATTTCTATCTGAAGTTGTTTTGGGAAACCAGGGCAAATTGAAAGTCAAAGTGTGAGCAGGGTAGGAAAATAACAACCCACATTGCTATATCAAAAATGACTGATGCTTTGTACCCTTTGGGAAGTGGTTTAATGTAATTATATTTAGCTAGTTTTTAACTACAGCAGAACACACTTTTGAGAGAAGTACAGAATCTTAGGAGCATAAGCTTCAGATATAAAAAAACAACTCATGAGATTAAAACTTAATGTACCTGGTTTTTACATTTTATTCAGAAATAACTGTGAGTAATTTCTCATTGAACTGTTCAGACAATTCTCAGGATTTTAAGCTTCAGAGAAAGCGAACTACTTGAATTTCTGGAACTGTTACACAATAATATTTCAAAACCTTATTTCTAGGAGACTAAGTGGTGCAGTGAGGTAGTCTTCATGATTTTGTGTTTCGCCCTATTTCCTCTAATTGTGTTATTAAAGTACATTTTTCAGTAATCAACAATTTCTGAAAATCTACCCGTATGCAAAAAAGAGTAACTACTACTGCAAAAGTCAATAGCTACACAAAGTATATGTATGAAGATAGGATATAGCTTGTCGTTATGAAATGTATATAGTTTATTACAGTACATTTATACAAGGGCAGTAGTTTAGGGTTACACAGTCAATCATTCACATCTCTTTCAAGTGTAAAGTGCTCAGCAAAGTGTTTTTATATTAAAAGTTGATTATGAGTAGTAGTTGAGAGGAAAAAAAACAACACAAAACTTTCATCAAATTGTAATTCATGCAGTAAAAATAAACTTTCTGAAGTACTGAAAGGGGCTGCTTCCTGCTTTTTTGTTTCTTTGGAAATTGAATTTGTATCCCTTCTTCATTTGTGTGAAGTCTAGACAGCTGATGAACTCTAAAGTAGATTTTATATTTAATTCACTGTGTCCAAACTGCTATTTAGATGATGAGGAAATGTCATTAGTCCAAGTTATCTGTACTTCTGTGTGTGCTTACTGTTTTGGCCTCAGTGGATTTTCTGTGGGGGGAAGTAAGAGAAACTTCTTTTGGGAAACGGATGTGTTTAGTCGGCACTGAAAACAATGTGATGAAACAAAAATCAAAGCTAATGGTGATTTATGTATTGACTTCTTGAAGCAAGCTCTTCGGGTCTTCGCGAATTTCTCTCTT